GAGGCTGTACCGGTACTTTATACCGGTGGGGCAGAGGCCGGCCTCAATGCTGCGAGGCCTGGCCATGCCCTGAACCGTCCAGATGGACGGTTCAGTCCCAACCGGCGGGCGGCAGCCTCAAGAGCGCCACCAGGCCCAAACGATAATGCCGTTTGGGCCTGCCCGTCGGGTACTGGTCCAAGATCAGGCCCTGAGGGCCTGTAATACCCCAAGGTCGGGCCTTTAGGCCCTGATGTGTCCCTCCGGCCCTAAGTCGGGTCCGGTAGGACCCGTGTGCGTCGAAGATGTAACACTTGAGCTGCACCACTCTCTCAGAGGAGGAGACACAGGTGGGCTATCAGAGGACAACACGCCGGTGGGTTATGTTCCACAATTTACATGTCGGGTTATGTTCCACAATTTACATGTCACTATCACATGTGTCCACCTTTTTTTTCCATCTGGTCAATTAGACAACAAACCCCACTGCGTCGTTCTTTTCTGCCTTCCGCAAGTGTCTGGCTACGGTCTTTTCAGTTGGCCACAAAATGACAGTGCTGGTGGGTTAAAGATTTAAATTGCATGTTTGTGCTTTGACATGTTTTGCATGTTTTTGTTTAGAGTCTTTTGACATGTTTTGCATGTTTGTTTTTTGAATTTTGAGTCTTTTGACTTTTTTTTTTTGTGCATGTTTGTGTTTTGACTTTTGAGTCTTTTGACATGTTTGTGTCTCCGCATCCTTAGATGATTGTTGACAGAATCAAAGACACAGAAGCAGCTGGCAAAGGATGGCTCATTGATGGGTACCCGAGAAGTGCCACACAAGCTGCTGAGCTGGAGGCATCAAATATCCGACCCGATGCTTTTATTCTGCTTGAGGTGAGCGTCCTAACTTCAGACGTTGTCGAGCAATATGTGCCCAACCATGCGTCTGTTTTGTAAATCATGATTCATTCCTAAGCGTGCATTGGTACAATAAGCCTGTAGCTCCCGTCACTGTCGCATGCTTTGCCCTTTTCCTTTTTTTCACTTTTTCGATTCCTGGCTTTCTCAGTGTGTGTGTCGTTTGTAAAGGCGGGGTGCATTGTCTGGTTTCTGTGCGACACCATTCAGCTACATGGGCCTTTCTGATCACCGTTGATGGAGTAATGAGGAGTGCGAGCTTGAAAAATCAAACTGACATCTCACGTTCACACTGAGTTGCACACTTGTCAACAAACAAAGAGGAAACAGAAAGCCACCCAATATCGGAACCCAAGTTAACTAGACATCAGTGTCTTATACAAGTGTGTTTGTAGAAACTTCGTTATGCATCGGGCTGGGAGGCTACAGGTAGGCTATGGCTGCCAGCATGAACAGCAAAAGGATGGACCCTCGGGTCTCCCTCTCTCCTCTCTGAATGTCTTCCCGCCCCCCTCTATAAGCTATGCTGGCCAGCTCCTGTTGAGTACTCTCTCTCTCTCTCTCTCTCTCTCTCTCTCTCTCTCTCTCTCTCTCTCTCTCTCTCTCTCTCTCTCTCTCTCTCTCTCTCT